CTTGTCCGCAACTTTCAACTCGGGAACCACAAAAGCTAGGAAGCTGAAAATTTAGGGAACGTTCCCTACCCACGTGTGACCCCGCAAATTTAAATTCAGCTTCCCGGTACCCCGGGTAATACGTATGGCCCTATAAAAGTTTTTTACGGGTAAATTAATATCTCGAGAACCACGGAGTCTAGGAGGCTGAAATTTTAAGGTAATGACCCCCTGTCCACGCTCAACTTTGCCCATTCACATTCGGCGTTCCCGCACTCTCGGGTATCACCTACGGGCTAGTGAAAGTTTTTACGGGTAATTATTATCTCGGGAACCACGAGGTCTAGGAAGCTGAAATGTTAGAGTAATGACTCTCTGCTTACGCTCAACCTTGCCCACTCAAATTCAGCGTTCCCGCGCTCTCGAGTACCACCTACGGCCTCATGAAAATTTTGGCGGGTAAACTATTAGCTCGGGATATTCATCCTTCAGGGTTTCGAATTCAGCTTTCATGCGCTTGCGTGAAATTTTTAACTATTTTCCAATGTTTGAATAGTCTATGCAAAAATAGACTAAAGTACAAAACAGTGAAAATCATTAATAGGCAATCGTTCGATGGGCTGAATTGCAAAAAACGCACGATCGCACCGGCTAGTCTAGTGCGTGTTTCTGTTTATTGGTTATGAGGCAGTTAATTCATTACGTTTACACATTTATTATTTCAGCTCTAATTGATGCATCGGAAGCGTATCGCCAACTAGCAGATATAAAATACCAGATGGAAGACAACGTAAAACATAACTTCCTGGATCCGCTCGCACATCTTCAGCAAACCGACCTCAAGGAAGTTAATGTATGTTATCTTTGCAGTGAGAACATCTCTTTTTTTCTTGCTGTTTAAAACTGAAATAAAATGGTTGAGAATAGCAGGCGAATTTATCAGTGCATTTACAGCATCACAGGTCAAAACTAAAGGGCCGACGTTTGGATTACGATTGCAAAAAGCGGAAGCAGACACGAGGTAATTCTTCCGAGCCTAATGTGTTCGTCGCTTTTGCACAGTGAGGAAACTTCTCAATAAAAGGCGTTTGTAGTTTTTGCCATAATCGCCCTCAGTCCCTTTTTCTGACTTACTGCTTCATCACTTTCCTTTCGATTACTTGCGGCTTATTACGTTAACTGCCGCATGGAGCATCCGTTTTCGGCATGTATTTTCGCGTTTTTTGCACAGTTGTATGACCTTTGCTACATTACCACCAGATGACCAGTCTTTGGTCCGCGTAGTCACTATGTCTGAATTTGAATCATACGTGAAAAGTATTTCTGGTATTTGTTCAAATTATATTGCATATTTTTGGTAGGAAACTTTCATGCGATTTTTAATAATAAGCATCTTGCAACAATATCAAACCTCGAAAGGGAATATTATAACTGGAAGCTCCCTGGTTGTATGATTTGTTTTTATTCAGTATGAACATTTGCATCGCCACAAAAAGCTGTAGTTTTAGATGAGGAATTGATTCAGGCCGAAGACAAACTGGAAGAATCCAAGAAGCTAGCGGAGCAAGCAATGTATAACCTCCTCAGCAATGATGTTTGTAACTTTTAAATTTTTTTAGTAAAATTTCATGTTTTAATGGATCAAAAGAACTTTAACCCTGTCAGGACAAAAAGTTGGTCATCAGGGTGATGGCTAAGCAACTCACGTGCGATCTCACCCCCTATTTCTTTATAAAACTGCCACTTTGCGGAAGCGTTTTCCTAAACAGTTGGTCGATTTTTTGTGTTTTTGTAGATTGTATAAGGAGTTTGAAGGATACTGGGTGTACATTGAATAATAAAGACTTACAAAATCCCATCGCTCAGTACTGTTTTCCTTTTTTATGCGTTTTTCGCAACAGTGCAGGGCAATAATGCACATTATTGAGGGGTTGTCTCTGTGTGTTGTCTGTATGTGCATTTGTGACAATTTTGCGTCTCAAGACCCGAGAAAGCTACAAGGCTGAAACTTTGGCAACTCAACACGCGCGTGAACCCTTATCCCCAAAATGGACTCTGTTGCCTACGTTCTTCCTACGTACGGGCCCGTGAGAGTTTTTGGTGGTCAAGCTGCTAACTCGGGAACCAGAAAAGCTAGAAAGGTGGAATTTTAAGGAGTATCCCCCGTCCATGTAAAACTTAACGAAGTGAGTGTCAAACCCAGCCCCCAGGTGCGTGGTTTCGAGGTGCGGGCCCGTGAAGATTTTTGGCAGGTAAGTTGCTAGTTGAAATTTTAAGGGAATTTTTTTCTGTCAGTCTCAATTCGTTTATCTAGAAGAATCTGCCGAAAAAAACAGTGCCGTTAGCGACAAAAACCTGCGGAGAACCGAGCAAAAAACGTACCTTCGCACCGGCAATCAGTGCGTTTCTTTTAAAAATTTTCCATATTACTGTATTCAGGTTGAGCAAGTGACTCAACTCTGTGCATTAGTCGACGCACAACTGGATTTCCATCGACAGACCACGCAAGTGTTGGAACATCTCAGAACTCAGCTGAATCAAAGGTTTTTACTTCTGCGGTCCAAAATCGTAGTGAATGTATTGCACTGTGCGCAATCGATTTTTGATGGTTGAATTTGGCTTGCTTTCTAGAATTGCGGAAGCGAGCAGTCGACCGCGTGCTGAGCATGTCATCAAACCCGTGCTGACCGATCGGACGCCAAGTACTCGGCATGTTTTGTTTGGTGTTTTTTCTGCTTCCTTTTTTTTTTGCATTTACATGCTCGCTAAGGTCCCAGTGCTATCCTTCGTGGTCTTTGACTCAGTTTCTACGCCATTCCTACTACTTAAATAATTTTTGCTTTTAAAAAACATGAAATTACGTGAAACCCCTGCGTAATTAACTCTCTCTCTGACAGGCCGAGACACCCAGCAGACTGAACGGTACCAAATCCCAGTAGCAACCGCACTTCGACAAAGTTGTCGATAGGATCCTCTTCTAGGGTTCTAGTTCAGCACTGCATTAGACATTATTTAGAGATTTGACAAATACCATACCGAAAATAAATTGAGTCCACAATAAGCAGTCATACTGATGAAGTCCAGTTGTAGTGCTCAACAGGAGTATGTACGGCTGCAAGGACCGAAACATTCTTGTTTAGCTGCCTAATTTCAGTTTCATGCAACATTCTTAAATTTTAGTAAAGTAAGCTTTAAACTACTAAAACATACCTTTAAAGTGTTGCGTAGAAAGCAAGTTGATGGAGGCTCCCTGGTATGCCTCAGTACATTTATAATTAGAAGAATGAACGAACATAGAGGGGTTTCTGCGTGTTTACCACTACACTGTACTCAGCAACTGAGGAAAAATACGGAAATTTAAATTATCGGATACGCAATACAGTGGTGTGGTCTCAGTAAAAAGTAATAGTTGGGTGAGAATTGTTTTTATGCGTTTTTGATATGCATCTCTCTAGCGGTGCTGTAGTGAGCAATAATGGATACTGTCCGTGTGTGTATATGTACTGTTTCATCCAATTTTTTTGTGTACTGTTTCATCCAATTTCAACTCAACAACCAGGAAAGCAGGAAGATGAAATTTTGGGGTCATATTCCCACCCAGAGTGCCACCCTCCCATTTTAAAATCTTCGCTTATCGTGCCTAGATCTCACACGGACTGCCGGAAAAAATATGCAGGTTTCTTTGGCGGGAAACAATTTCATGGACCAGACAAGGTAGAAAGCTGAGACTTTGCAGGGATATTCTCTGTGCATATGTGGAGAAAAGATTTCAAGTAGGTTGCAGCTTCCAGGTCAATCCTAGAAGTGCAGATGGTGGAATGCGCAAATGCAAGAGAAAGTAATGAAGGTTGGTGGTGAGAGTGAGCTAAGACGTTTCGGTCCAT